ACTTGAGGGTTTGTTTGTTTGAATTTAAGCACAAAGCTACACAATAGGCTATCTGTGCCCATTGCCCACTAGTATTGAAACCCGGTTTCTAGCGTTGTAAGTTCGCAGACATACCGCTGTGCCCTAGGGGGCCTACTTGAGGGACAGTGGGAAGAAGATGTAAGGCCCTCTTGGGGCAGCGAGTTAAACCAAAGCTCAAAATCTTTGTTTATGGTACTGTTGTCCCCCGGTGGGACAGCGGCAAGTCTGAAATCAGGGGTTCGATTCCCCTCGGTGGACACAGCAGATAGCCCGATGTGGCTTTGCTATGAAACACACACACTCTTACTGTTATAGTTTAAAGATATAAGAGGAGGTTCGAGACTTTTTTTCTTGACGTCAGCGATGGGGAAATAGAAGAAGCCAAAGAGACTATAATGTATCTTTAAATTTTACTGGTACTTGAAATTGTAAACGTATAACCGTTTGTTTGCTATTTTCTCAAATTTTTTATGCTTATTTTTTTTAAAATTCACTAAGCTTTCCAACATCAACTGTGTTTAATCTTTTGTATTATGCTATAAGAACACCACTAAAAAAATAATTCGCAACGAGCGTTTAATATATTTTAAGATAAATTAGTTTTGTCTATGTCAGTTGTTCGTCGGTTTTTGTTCACAATTAATCAATATTGTTATTATTTGGAAAATGTTGTTGGTAGCAATTAATACACATCTATTTAAACCTTTTTTTTCATTTCATTTTAGGGCTCATCTTTCATTTGCTTCTACAAAATATGCTTTTATTTAGATTTTTAAACTGGCTAACATTAAACATACTAACATTTGTTGCAGGTGTGCCCTGTGATATATGGGTAACTAGTACTGTTTCTAAAAACGGAACATTTGCGAGCCCTAACTATCCTAACTCCTACCCGGCTGACATCCACTGTGTTTACCACTTTGCAGCTAGAGGAAAGGAGAGAGTCCAGATCATCTTCACGGACTTCGATCTTCATGAACCAATACCCAGCAGGGTGAACAGGGAGTGAGTAAAAAACTTATATAGTTTTACTCAGATCTGACTTAGTGGCACCTCGTGAAGTAAATTTATATAATAAAACCAGCTTTATACTTTAAAAAAATGTGGTTGGACAGCAAACTTAATTAATTACTACAAGGACGTTATCGAGATATCCTAAGTAAATTTCAATTGTTAAGAAATGGCTTGTATATTATAAGTATGTGTACACACACACACACACACATATATATTCACAAGGTCAATGTTTAACACAATTTTGGATAGTACGACATTGTTTATCTATTTGTTTTTACTTATAAAATTATTTCGGGATCCTACTGAATTGTGACGTGACACACGACGAAGCTATGGAAAACATCACTGTGTTCTGTATATCATAGAGTCATCTTTACTAAAACTAATATATCTTGTACGTCTGATTGTGTGAAGTCCTCATTGCCAAAACTAACATTCCTGTATGATTGATTGTGTGAAGTCATCATTGCCAAAACTATTATATCCTTTATGTTTCATTGTGTGAAGTTCTCATTAGAAACAAATAATATATCCTATATGTTTGATTGTTTGAAGTCCTCTTTAGTAAAACTAATATGTCTTGTATGATTGATTGTGTGAAGTCCTCATTAGTAAAATTAATATATCCTTTACGTTTGATTGTGTGAAGTTCTCATTAATAAAACTAATGTATTTTGTATGTTTCATTGTGTGAAGTCCTCATCAGTAAAGCTAATGTATCATGTATGCTTGATTGTTTGAAGTCCTCATTATTAATACTAATGTATCCTATATTTTTGATTGATTGAAGTCCTCATTAGTAAAACTAATATATCCTGTATGATTGATTGTGTGAAGTTCTCATTAGTAAAACTAATATATCCTGTTTGTTTGATTTTTTTTTAAAGTACTCATTAGAAAAACTTCGATCAGAAGAAAGTAATTAAGGTAAACACCAGTGGTACTTCCACAACAATCCATTGTTTATCCTTATCTTTGTTGTGCTGTGATCTGATAAATGTACTGAGAGAAACGGGTATAAAATGTAATCACTTCGACTATTATACTACTACGTGTGAGATGATTTAAGAATTTTCGAAAAATGGGCATATTTCCATATCTGGTTTGGCTTAAGGACTTTTTAAATAATTATTTCTTGTCCAGTAAAAATATATATTTATGTTTCTGTTCTCATATATTCAATATAATTGTTTTCTGTCTAATAGCGCTTACACCATTTGTAGATCTGCGCCAGTAAGCCTAAAAAATCTGTATAATGTCCGAATGTTTTATAACCAAGTTCGGACTCTCCCTGCGGCTGGTGGCTCGAATTAGGGCGCCATGCTACTTGTTGAACGCATGGGCACACTTGCTGCCACAGTATTTCGTAATTGGATGGAGGAGTGTGCTAAAATTTCTTATAGTGTGTAAACATAATCAAATGTATCGTTTTTCCTGCTACTTCCGTCATATTAAAAAGGCATACATCTTTAAAAAGTTACAAATGAAAATGTCTCCTGGTGAGTCAACGATAGGTTTGTGGAGTTACAATACTAAAAATAACAATAACAACAACAGCAAATAACGATGTTTTCTATATTTCGACAATACTCAGGATGACCTTTTCTCATAAGCTAAAAAGACCATGCTCTGGATCCAACGATTCGTGGTTCGCATCCCGTTTCAGCAAAAACACGCTCCGTACTGGGGCTGGGGATGCGCTATGACAGTAACAGTCAAATTCCACTATTTGCTCAGACAAAAACAGCTCAAGAGTTGACGGCAGATGTTGACTAGCTGCCTTCCCTTTGGCCCGGCATGGCCAGGTGGTTAGGACGCTCCACTCGCAATCTGCGGGTTCGCATCCCCGTCCCACCAAACATGCTCGCCCTTTCAGCCGTGGGGGCGTTATAATGTGACGGTCAATCCCACTATTCGTTGGTAAAAGAGTAGCCCAAGAGTTGGCGGTGGGTGGGGATGACTAGCTGCCTTCCCTCTAGTCTTACACTGCTAAATTAGGGACGGCTAGCGCAAATAGCCCTCGTGTAGCTTTGCGCGAAATTCAAAACAAACAAACAAACAAAGCCTTCCCTTTAGTCTACCAGTTAAAAATTAGGAACGGCAGATAGCCCTTGAGTAGCTTTCCGCGAATACCTGAAAACAAACACGAATAAAAATGGAATTTTAAAAAGTAATAAAACTAATATTAATTAACTATGCGTATAGAACTCTTGTGTAGTTTTACGCGAAATTCTGAAACAAACAAATAAAAGACTGAACACGGAGAAATTAAAACAACAACAGAAAAAAAAAAAAAAACCTAATGCGTGTGTTAACCAAGAAAACAAGGGTCTGATATGTAAACGTCAACTTTACTCCGCTGTACATTTAGGGAAGACAAACGAAGACGAAAGTATGATACGACGACGAAAGTACGATTAGAAGGGCACTAAGAGAGTGGATTTTATTTTTACTATTGTAGTAATCAACCGAAAATAAACGACAACCAATTCCGCACCCTAGGATCTGTACATCTTGGTTTCAAGATCCTCTCTTTATCTCATTTGTTCACATATTTTGACCGTTTTTACAACCATTAAATCAAAAGTGGTCAACCTTCAGTGGGACTTTGACATTTGAGCTACTTTCATCAATATATGGTTAATTCGTCCTTGTGATACATTCAGCCTTTCTATTAAATGTGATACAAATCTGATGCAGACTTTTCGAGTTATGTCTTTGTTCTTCATCGTGACATTTGACCTATATTACTCGATTGTTTCGTTTGAGACGCTCAACCTTTGTGCCAAATTTGATCAAAATCAGATGAAACGTTTTTGTCCTTCATCGTGACATTTGACCTATATTCACCAACCGTTACTCGATTGTTTCGTTTGGGACGCTCAACCTTTGTGCCAAATTTGATCAAAATCAGATGAAACGTTTTTGAAATATACTGATCACATAACAACCTTGATTAGATGATCAAGAATAGGGCTCAGATAACTTATTAATTATTTCTCAGGCTGCGATACTAAAACGTGATAAATCGTGTATTGTTTTTACAAATCGTAGAAGACCACGAGTGTTCTTGGCCACTGATTGAAGTAACAAAAATAAGATAGTTTATATTTTTAACTATTATTAAAAGGAATTTCCAAGTACTCGATTTATGAATTTTTAGTGCGTGTTTTTATTTTATGTATTTTGATGGCGTAAACACGTGTCTTTTACAAGCTGGAAAAACTTGATTATAACTATAAGACATTAGTGTTAGGCCTATTATATTTTTTAGACACTACATTATTTATCTAGTCGCTTACATATGACGAATATAGTGTAGTTGGAATACTATTTTTATACAATCTTCTAGTTCTTGAAATTTCCTTGGAAACTAGATAAAGTATTTAGTATTTAAAAATATAACAGACCTAATACTAACATCTTATGACACGTGTAATTATTTTGTGTGTTGTTCTCTTTGCCATATTACAATTTTTAAATATGTTGTTAACCGAAGACGAAATAACCTATGAAATTACTTGTTACCCATGTGGTGGCTAAAAAAAAATAATTTCACTAAAATTTATGTGATATTTAAGAAAATATATTTTTTGAAAGTTCAGTTCAGACTCTAACAAGAAACTAAAATATTTCAGATTAATCACACTATTCCACAAGTTTATTGCTATTTTTTTAATATCTTCTTATCTTTTAATGTCTTAAATCTTTTCATTGTTAGCTGTGAAGGAGTTGATGTACTCCAGGTTTTCATCAAGGTCAAAGGTCAAATGGAAAAGATTAAAAACATTTGCGGAAAAACCCTTCCACATCAGCTAATGTCTAACGGCCCATCCATGATTCTAGAATTCCATACAAACAAGGGTTCTACGAGTTCTAAGGGATTTCAAGCTTTTTACCGATTTGTGTCCGGTAGGTAGCGCTCTACGTCATAATATTCACAAAGTGCTTGAAAATGACGTGCTAGTCAATTCCAGGATTTTGATGGGATGTATATTTTTTTTCCTTAAAACCTTTTAATCATAGCTTTTTTAAGTATCCTTTTCTTTAAAAAGTTTCAAACAATATTCATGTTTATATTTATCTAATCACGACATTTTAATGCGCCTCTAATCGATGTTTTATCTGGCATGAAATAACCCTAATTGCGATGAAAGGCAACATTCTCGTGTATGTACAAATATCTCTATTGTGAAATTTGATGCGAAAGTGATTTATAACCTATACTAAATATAGTATTTTCCTGATTTCATGAAAACGTTTGCATGAAAAAATATAAAATTCTCATTAAAAAGTGTTTTGTGTTTTGTTTCTTTTTTATAGAGCAGCCTTTTAAACAGAGCCCTTTTTTTAATCAATATACATTTAGTATGTAACTGTTATCAAATCAAACACTACCTACTCGAATATATAAGATGAAATACTTGGACTTACACTTGCTATGATAAATGTGAGAAAAATCTAATTTGTTACGCATACATATTAAGATGTGAGGAGTGTGTCTGTGCCTTTTGCCTGTTTGATTATCTAACAAAGATAATCTAATCTTGGCTTTTTTTAACAGGCATTATTTAGCAGAAGATAACGGTAATCAAAATACATAGACCACAATGGATATTAACCATACACATCTTGTAAAGGTTTTGTTTGTCTGTATCGCTCCCCCAGTGGTACAGCGGTATGTCTGGGAACTTAAAACGCTAGAAACCGGATTTCGATACCCGTGGTGGGCAGAGCACAGATAGCCCATTGTGTAGCTTTTTGCTTAACTTCAAACAAAGAAACACTTGTCATTATTTCATTTAAAGATCCAGTTTGTGTTCGAGAGTAATTCTGTACGTAACCCCTTCCTTTTTTACTATACATAAAAACGTATATATTCAGTTGTCAAGTACAGTAATTGGACATTAGTTATTACTGAAAGGAAATTGATTTCGAACTAGCTCTACAGTTCAAAACCTAACATAAATATGTTCCTATTTTTGTTGCTAAGCGCACCGTCACCGTTTTAATGTCAATTTCAAAAAAATAAATAAATAAAGGAACCCTAGAATTACCGCTGGTGTCCATATCCCCATCTAATTTTTAAAAACAATTTTCTAAACTATATGCCGCCCTTTTTCCGATGGCTTAGCAGAAATGTTGAGGGCTTATAATGCTAAAAATTGGGTTTCGATACCCGCTGTAGCCAGAGCACAGATAATTCATTGCGTGGCTTTGCTCTTGACAACAAACAATCTAGTTAATTCTCTAAACTATTTATGCCCCAAATTGTTTATAAATTCATGATTTTTTTGGTTATAGCGCTCCTAGCAACACAAAATGTAAACAAAAATACCATTGATATTCCAGTTAATTCCACTAGTTACCTCTTGGGTGTATTTTACATAGAGAATGAGCTATTTTCAACCACCATTTGGGTGAATTCCTTGAATTGATGTAGTAACAAGCAAAAACATAAACAGTAAACTGTATAAAAAAATGTCGGTAATTTGAAGGTTAATTATACAGAGAAATAATTAAATCAAGTTAAAAATGTATTATTTTTATTAAGATTCAGCTGTTTAATCAACCCCTCTATTCCCCTCGGCGGCGTCTTGATTGTTGCCTAATAAATCGGTGTATTTCAATCCGTACGTTATATCATCTTCGTTATAAGACACCTACTGTGCGAAGAACGAGAACCATTCTCTTTGATTCCAATGCAATATCAGCTGTTGTCATCTCAGTAAGTCAGTTTTCGCGAGAGACTCAATGGAGGCTTTAAAACTTTCATGGTACTTCTATTTTAACGCTGTGAGGTATGTTGAGGACTTATGGAACTTATATATATATTAGAAAACATTAGATGTCACGTAGCGCTAATTTTCTCTTTATATTATGCTAATAAACAGCTAAATTGAGTAACAACTACTTAATGATATTTTAATTTTCTTTAAATTCTTCAACCCTTGTTATATATATATACATAACGCAAATCCATTCAGGCGAATAACACAGGAAGTACGAGATGCTCATTTATTTTTCATTGAAGCTTTTACTTCAGTAACTCTAAAATATATTAAAATGTGTTAAATTTTCGAAAATCCCATTAAACTGTTCATATTGCACCTCAGGCAATATTTTTATAATTGTAGCTAGGAAAAACAAACATTCTCCTGAAATCTTTAGTTTTATATTTATGTTCTAATTCAATGAAACACAGGGAAATATAATAACAATGGATCATATAAATCCTACTTCAAGGTTTGCGAATAATCTTAAATTAACCTGACTATTTTAAAAATATGATGTCGTAAGTCACTACAATTTGAGTTTAAACCGTTAATAACAATTAAAAGAAACAATTATAAAATCAAGTTACAAACGTGTTTAGCTGTAATTACGCTTCCAATAAAACATGTTATCGTAATTTCGCTATTATTCACTCTTTATCTTATAAAATTTATTCTGTTCTCTACCATTAACATGGAGAGTGTTGTTTTGTATACAGGATAATCCTGAAACAGGCTAATCTTGAAAACTGTAAGTAATTCCTGAGTATCACAAAACTTTATTCTGTTCTCTATCATTAACATGGAGAGTGTTGTTTTGTATACAGGATAATCCTGATACAGACTAATCTTGAAAACTGTAAGTAGTTCCTGAGTATCATTAAACTTTCGTCACATTAACAACTATTCGAACAACTTAATTAATTTAATAGCCGTTTTTAGGGAGAGTACATAACGTGGTGAAAAACCCCTTCACGCAGTACATAGATAGACATTCTAAATTAACATTCTGTTGTCGCGAAATGTGCTCTATTAAAATACATTCGAAAATCCATTTAATAATATAAATGTTTGCTCATTCATAAAAATATAAGAGTTCTTACTGATTTGCCCTCCCCAGTGGCTCAGCGGTAAGTCTGAAGGTTTGCGACGCTAAAATCGGGTTTCGATACACGTGGTTGGCACAGCAAATATAGCCCATTAAAACTGTACTAATTTGTTATTAGTTTGAACTACTAAAACTGACCTTTAGTGTAGATATAGAAGACACCCCCATTGGCTCGGCGGTAAGTCTAAAAGCTTATAATACTAGAAACCGGTTTCGATACCCATGGTGGGCACAGCACAGATAGCCCATTAAAACCGTACTGATTTGTTATTAGTTTGAACTACTGAAACTGACCTTTAGTGAAGACATAACAGCCACCCTCATTGGCTCGGCGGTAAGTCTAAAAGCTTATAATACTAGAAACTGGTTTCGATACCCGTGGTAGGCACAGCACAGAAAACACACTGTATAGCTTTGTGCTAAACAACAAAATAAGATATAAAAGTCAGTTGTATATATATATCCATATATCAATACCAGTTAAATATGTTGTCACATATGTTGTTTTCGGATTTATTAGAAGTTACAAAGAACCACTAAGCAATATAAATAACTTATATCAACTTTCTTTTTTGATCAAATAATTTTCATCTCTGTGAGCTGAAGAAACTATTTTGCCTTAGTTTTAGGAAATATTGGCAATTAATATTTAAGTGTTATCCTGAGGTGAATTATTTGTTCGGTGTTAGCAAGAATGAATAGGTCAAAAAGTGTTGTGTTAATCTCTTGAATTAAACTTTGTGATAATAAGACTTGTAATATCACAAAAACTTAATATTTCATCTATAATATAAAGATTAGGACCGTCACATTATAACGCCCCCACGGCTGAAAGGGCGAGCATGTTTGGTGTGACGGGGATTCGAACCCGCGACCCGCAGATTGCGAGTCGAGCGCCCTAACCACCTGGCCATGCCGGGCCTAAATTCATACGCATTAATAATCCCACTATTCGTTGGTAAAAAAGTAGCCTAAGAGTTGGCGGTGGGTCTTACGCTGCTAAATTAGGGACGGCTAGCGCAGATAGCCCTCGTGTAGCTTTGCGCGAAATTCAAAAACAAACAAAGCGTATGAATTTCATATCAAATAGGTTTATTGAGAACAAAACCAATTTATTCATATAACAAAATAAATCCCAAATGCTAAAATTTAAACAGGTCTTGTGGAGGTTAATTTATGGTTAGCAGATTAACCATATCCACATTGAGATTCATTTTAGTTTAATGAGATTGTGCAGTAATTAGTAATGAAATTTTGTTTAAAAAAAGTCCTTATATTTGTCTTTGTTGTATTTGTTTGCTTTTTAATTTATATTGATATTTGCTCAACAGTAATTTTCATGAATATTAAATTTCTTAGTATGAATTAGAAAGCTAAATACATGTTTACTTGATTATCCCGACTTACTCATCGTGCCTTCTTGCCTTATATTTTTATATTTTTCTAGTTACGCTAGTGTCCATTAAGCTTTGTATGTTTAGACTGGAGTTGTTTAATATAGTTGATTTCAATTTAGATAAGTTATGGTTATTTAAAATACTTTCTATTTTGCTTGCTGATACAATATAAAGATTTTTTTTCTAGTTGATATTGATGTATTTTTGCCTAGTAAATAAAGATATTTTCAATAAAGCAAATAACAGAATAACTGACCATTATTAAGAGTAATTTTTCGTTTCGCTATTTTCTTTCCTTTTGCGAGATTTTGGAATCAGAGAAGGATCCCAGGATCCCCAATCAGGTAAAAACAAAATCCATTTTTAATTGCATATTTTATGATTATAAAAAATATCTTACTTTCCAGTGGGCCAGCGGTAAGTCTGAAGGAGTATAACGCTAAAAACCGGGCTTCGGTACCCGTTGTGGGCAGAGCAGAAATAGCTAATTATGTAGCTTTGATCTTGATAAATAAACAGGTAGAATATGTGTAGTTGAATCGAATAACTTAATAAAAAAATCAGTGGCTGTCTATATTAGCATAACGTATCAAAAAATATTTGTTTGTTTGAAGTTAAGCTACGCAATGGGCTGTTTGTGCTCTGCCCACCACGGGTATCGAAACGCGGACTTTAGCGTTGTGAGGCCTCAGACATACCGTTGTGCTACTGAGGGGCATCAAAAAAGTAATAATGGATTATATTAACACTACTTGCAATTAATAGTAGCTATCCTATTAGCTTAATTGACTTTGAACTGAATGTTTAAATTATTATTAATTTATGTAGGTTTGAAACATTTTAAAACAAAGTGGACAATGCGAATATATTATAAATCTAAGAACAAGAACACAAACGGCTATAAATTGAACATTGATAGAAAATGTTTCCTTATATACCACACTCTATGAGATACATTGTTCATCCAGTGTCAGTTTTTCATGGAACAAAGTTTTCCATTTCGTAACTACACCAGAACAAAAAGGTTTTAAAATAAATTTAAGGTTAGTGCTATGTTTCTGAAAGTCCCAAAGAAATAGAACATGTAAAAAAAAAGAGACAGAAATTTTTTTATCAATGCGTTAAAAATTTGAACTAGCGTAACCCTTGTGTTGATATTTCCAGTATTACAGTAATTTATATAAATAATTTTTTAAAAGAAAAAAATCACATGATAAGGAAGAATGGCGTGAATTTAACACAGGCTATCAAACCCTAGATGAAAAATAATTAATTGTAATATTACGTAGAACATGAAAGAAAAAAGAAAAAACAACGTAGCTACAAAACAGACAGACTTTTGGTCTTACTTCCGCCAGCCAGCCCCTCAAAAACCAGGGCACATTGCATAACTACCCACCTTATGGTGTGTGTGCCCAGGTGGTACATGTCTGTTTGGTAGCTGCGTCGTTTCTTTTTCCTTTTTTCTTTTATGTTCTACGTAATATTACAATTAATTGCATATATATATATATATATATATATAT